TGCTTAGCAACAACTAAAACATCGGTGTGTTATCAACATTGTTCTCACCCTAAATCCAAAAGACAGCGCTGTACCAGCTACTAGGAAGAAAATTAACTCTACCCCAGCCAAAACCAGGACACAGACTTTGAAAAAGCTAAATCCTGACAAAAATACCACAGTATATCTTCATTTAAAAAAAAGGAAAAAGGATAATGCAATCTTAATTTAGATTTAAGGGGGCTTATAAAAAAGATGGCGGCAAACATTTTAGCAGGGCCTGTTGCGACAGGACAAGGGGGAATGGCTTTAAACTAAAGGGGGGTAGATTGAGACTAGATATAAGGAAGAAATTTTTTATGCTGAGGGTGGTGAAACACTGGCACAGGTTGCCCAGAGAGGTGGTGGATGCCCCATCCCTGGAAACCTTCAAGGTCAGGCTGGACGGGGCTCTGAGCAACCTGATTTAGTTGAAGATGTCCCTGCCCATGGCAGGGGGGTTGGACTAGATGACCTTTAAAGGTCTCTTCCAACCCAAACTATTCTATGATTCTATTCTATGATTCAGATTCAACTTTCAGAAGTCACATACAAAAAAATCAAAATCCCTTTCTTCTGGGCAGCTCTATGGACCAAGGAGGTTGCTCCAGGCAATACCAGACTTTGCTTTCGTTATCACTGTTATTTTTAACTTACTTTCTTTGGTTACACACAGTGCCAGAGGATTTTATAAGCCAAGGTTTGGAATCACTGCTTTAAGTTGTAAAAAATACTCTTAAAGCTAGAATATATACATGTGGCTATATAAATACCAGGTTGCTCATTATGAGTGAGTGGTCAATACTTTCCTGCCTACAGTTCCTATAGCCATTCCGTGGTCCCACCACATGTGTTTTTATTAAGAATGTAGAAGTATTGATGGATACTGTCCACATATTTACACTTTCTTTAATCTGTGTTTTCTAGAAAACTATTGCACTAGGAAGAAATTCAGCCCCTTTACCAAATCAATGGGCAATGGCTTTAACAGTGTGCACCTCTCCAACAGTTTTCTAGACGTACTGTTTGCTGCAGAGCTGCACTTTCTGCTCTCTGCCTAGTTTCCTTGAATGCTTTCCTTTTGTTCCCTTATTTCTTCTGCTGTTGCCTGAAACCTTCACATAGAGTTTCTTGATTCTACTCCTTACTTAAAACTTGCAAATACAACTTTGCTTATGGTGCTACTTCGCAAATAAACACACAGCTGCTAAGCCAACAGTTATACACCCTCCCTTTCTTGCAGTTCACAGACTATTCTTTTCTGAAGATGCCAGTTCTTCCCATTGTAGTTTCTTGTGCCTTTTGTATTGTTTTGGGTAGGTGAAAGTAAAATCTTTTATAAATCTTCCTTCTTTCTAGAGCGAGAATACATTTTAAACTGTGCTTGCCCCACCTGCAGATGAAAGTTGGAATAACTCGTCCTCTGACCCAGCTTTACCATAAGTAAGTAAGACCACCTCTCGGCACTACTCATCACTGTCTTCGCTCTCTGTGGTCTTATATATTGCCTGAGATACAACCACAATTCTGCCATGGTCGGACCTTAATTCTGGTGTTGGCCTAATGACTGATTGTTCATCAGCCTTGTACAATTAGTTCCAATGCCTGGACTGACACTGAAAAAAAGAAGTCTTCATTCCTATGTATTGCTGTTCACACTGCAGCAACAAAAAGCTGGTATTGCTCAGCAATGTTTTTTCAAGTGTTACATACGGGGGAAAAAAAGATAGAGATTACCTTAAGCTGCAGACTAATGCTGTCCAGTTTCATTACATTACCCTTTCTTTACCTTCACAGTCTAGGGCATCAAGATCTTGAATTCTTGCCCAACAAAAGCAGTTGCTCCAACCAGTAGGGATTTACTAAACAGACTCCTCCTAACTTTGAGCTATACAGAAAACATAGCATTTCCACTGTACTTTAGGCTTTTGCCATTCATAGGTGGGAAGCCATATTCTGGATCACTAGAACCGGAAAAATGTAACACTAATAAAAATGTAGCTTTCCAGAAAAACAAAAAAAAAAGAAACTTGAAGTTTACTGGGTGCTGACTAACTTGAGGCTGCTAAATACAGTGATAAAACCTAGCTAACAGGGGGACTTATCTCCCCAAACTTGCTCCTAATAACAACTGACTTTCTACTTTAAGATAGCCACCTAGGCTGCCTTCACAGACAGAGCGCGACAATTCTTAGTTTAGGACTTTTAAGAGAAACTTTCTCCTTCTGAAAGTGACTAATATAGTCAGGCTGAATCTCCTTCTGGAGATAGTTCTCTGTCTCCAAACAGAGGAAGCCTAGGTAATTAACTTAATTTTAAAAAAGCTAGAACTTAGGCACTAGTCTAAAAGAGTCCTGCCATAAGGATCTAATTCTTAGGTGGGCTTCCATGCTAAGGTAAGTATTTGACCAGAGAGATCCTTACAAGACTGGACTAAGAAAAATAATCTCTAACACCATTATTAACTAATATCCAAGAACCCAGTAATATCATCCTATCTATTGAAAATTCCGAAAACTGGAAGTAAAATGGACTTTAGGCTTTTAAATATATAACCCTTCTGTTCCATCAGAGAAACAGAAAGAAAAAAGATCCAACTGAATTTCTTTAACAGCAGTCTTCTTTATTTACTTACTAAAAAATCTTGGGCAGCCTAGCTTGACAATTATTTGTCATGCTTAAAGCTATTTATGTAGGAAAAGTGTAATTAGAAGATTTCCCCTGCCATCGGTTTTTCAATAGAATACTTACGTAGTATAAATTCTTAACGTTTGGACTAAGGAAAAGGTTTATTGCTTAACAGTCAATTTATGAAATTTATTTTTCACAACATTCAGCCTTTAAGAATTTCTTCATGACAGAAATAAAGCCTTAAAAAATTATTTTATATACGAGCTACACTTAGCCTAACTGGAAGAAGAGAGAAAAAAACAAGTATCCCAAATTCTTTGCAGCTCTTAAATCATGGAAGAAAAAAAAAAAATCTAATCACTTCCTCTAATGTGGGTAATGTGAGGGTAATGGAGAAGTATCAGAAAGCATAACCCTAACCTCTGAAGAGCTATCAGATTCATGGAAGGAAACAGACTAAGCCAGGGTATTTCAGAAAATGTATAGAGTCCATTTTCTTGCATCAAGGAAGGATCACTTACATTTAAACGACTCCTAACATATTTCTCTAATCTAGTCTTTAAAATGACGGCTTCCTATGCAGTCTCTAACAGTAAAAAATATGCTTTAGAATAGATTTGGGGTTTTTTTTTTTCATTTTAACCTAAATTCCTCTTGCTTCAACTGAAGACTACTGCCACCTTCTTTGCAGCAACTTCTTACATATTGGAAGAGTCATACATCTTCTCCACAGCCTTATCTAAACTAAATCCCATTTATTTCAATTTCTTCTCAAAGGTATCATTTTCTAGATCTCAGGTTTTTCTTATTACAGACCCTTTCCTAGTAATTCACGCTTTAATAAGTTCCCCCTCACACAGTTCTGAAACTTCCCTTCGATCCCACTGCCTGTGCTGCCAGTCATACTCACTTTCCCTGGAGAGACCAACACACAAATTCTGTAGCTTAAAGTACTGACTACACTACTGTCTTCCTTTTGGAAGTGCTGGAACAGAAGGTTTTAGATACACTGGCAGCTCCACTCTTCTACCTTTGTCTTAATGTTTTTTTAGTGATAACATTCGAGGGGCTCAGAGGTTCCCTGCAAGGAGAAATGCCAAGCAAAGAGCCATGAACATGCCTTCTTTTTCCTTTCTCAAAAATTCTGACTGCGTCACGTTATAGGGTGCAGAAGCAAAAGATGTAAACTCCATGCATATGAATTTGATGCGCTGAAATTCAGGAAAACACCCACTCAGAGATGAAAATATAAAAGTGCAGTATCTTTTGAAAGCAAATGTTACTAACTAGAAATTAGAAGTTTCATTACTCTACAAATGTATCAAAATAAGAGTTATTACTAGACTTTCTGATGAGACATTTCAGAAGAGAAAGCCAGGAAATCCTCATTCAGTCACATTCAAGCCACCCATAAATCCATATGTATGACAAGAAAGTAACACGAGTTTACAGAATATACCACATTTGTATTACCATTTTGAGTATTAGGAGTGACACAGATCGTAAAAGGCTGCAAGTGCATCTCTAACAATTCTTATCTATCCAGCTGAAGCTGTCAAAATTGTTCATCAGAAGAGCCAGAAAATGCAGCAGCTTTTTATTAAAATTCTCATTCACTGTGCAGATTTTGTAAGGAACAGAGATAAGGCCGAGTCACACAGCTAAGAAACAGCTCTTGTGTTTCCCAAATTCAGCATCCCTGAACTATGTGGAGGTTGGTTTTGCTTAACAGATAGAAGGGACCTATGGTCAACATCCCCATTCTGAGCAGCCACTCTATAACTACAGCACTATGACTGAAGAGAATTTGTAAGAGACTGAGCAGAACTGAAGATGATCCCTGAAGCGCAGAGGAAGAAAGAAGTCTAAGCTCAAATTTTCAATTTTATTCCCTTCAACACAGCAAAGATGTCAGCTACTAATAGACTACGAGTATTTTTTAAATCAATGAAAACTATGAACATTTGCAGTATTCCCAGGCCAAAATATTACAGCTTTTTGTTTGTACAGCAAAACCAGACACTATTATGATGAGTGCAAAGAGATTCTGTATGAACAAAAAGCATAGATCTCAAAGCAGAAATTTTACACATAGAGGAAGTCCAGCTACAAAACGAAATGTCTCGCTCAAAGCAAAGCAGACAAGCAGGAAAAGAATCCAGATTTCCCAGCTTCCAGGGCGATGCACCAAACTCCCTTTGTAAGGTAATTCTACCTTCCAGCCAGAATGAAATCAAGAAGGAAACGAAGAAATGGTGAAAAACTGTTTCAGGTAACTTTGCTTTTATTCATCCGTAGTGCTTCAAAAGTGTTCTCATCTATCGATTTCAAAATAAATACCTTTTAGCTGTCTCTCTAAGTACACAAAGTAACATGAATACCAATCACTATGGCATTTATTGCTATAAATACAAGACACTGCAGTACTCACCGGTCTTTTACTATGATGTCACCACAGGACTGACAGTAAAAGACGTAATTCTTCTGCGGTTTCAGGCTTTCCCTCAAAGTAAAAACCAAATCTACAGACAGAAGAAGACATGCTAATCTTCAAAACTGTGTAAAATTTTCAGTCACTTGTACAGGAAAATCCTGCCAAATACCTCAAACCAAAAAAGATAAGAATCTAACAAACAAAGCAAAATGCTGACATTTTAAACACAACCTTAATTTATTTACCTGTAGAAGCAAGTACTTAGATTTAGGAAAAACTTCGCATCTCCACCTCATGCCCCATATTGCTGAGTAGGAACTGTATACGTGAATAATTATTTTAAAGGTGCAAATCCTCTCCACAGGGGAGCAGAGATATAGATATCATTACAGAGACTGTATAAATTAAAATTCAATGCCACTTTTTTGTAATAATATTTCTGCTACTCAGTGTTCCTGCAATATGAGGGTACATCCCAATATGTAACACAAAATAGTCCGGGGGTGGGGGAGAGGACACTAGTTTTAAATTTTCAGGCAGGTAAGCTACCAGCCACTGTGGTACCACTCAAGGAATAGGTAGTGAGCAATACCCTCTGCAGGCCAGCAAAGTGAAAACAGTCTCACAAAGGCCAGCTCAGACAACTTTTCCAAATTAAAAAAGGAGCTATAAAAGCCTCCACAAATTGTCAAATAACATTAGGCAGAAGAAAAGTAAAACTGTAAGCCTAGCTCTATGTATTAATATGTTTTGCATTGCCCACTTTCTCAAACTTCAGAATCAAAGTATATTCTCAGCACTGGCATTCAGTATTTAAGATTTAGATTGCAACCACAAATGAAAAGTACTTTAAAAGGTTCCAGAATTTCATATAAGAGAGAACTAGTTTTGCATACTAATATAAAACATTAAAGGCTAAGTAAGGTTATCCAATATATACGTCGATTACTATCCGGTTCACATACATGTTTTTCACTGGTATGACTTTCAAAGGTAAATTTTTCAAACGTCATCTTTGATCTTTTGAAGCACGCCTCATTAATAAGATGCACTAAATAATTTTTGTATAATTGTCAAAGCATGTGCGTAATTACTGATTAACATACAGAAGCAACCTCAGCATACCATAAAATCAACAGAGTATTCCAGTGTGTTTCTGGTGCTGAAACCATTATCATACATCACACACTTCATTGGTCATTCCTACTTTAAAACCACACAATGACACTTTTGTGTTATTTAATATATCTTTCTGTGTCACATCCTATTAAATGAATCCAAACACATTGAGCTTGGATGCTAGAATGAAAGAAAGCACCAGCTATACTACCACGCTTCCTATTTATGCAATCGCATCCTAGACCTGAATTAGCATCATGGAAATAAAGAAGGTAACTTTGCAGATGTTACCTGCAACATGAACCTCTGCAAACTGAGGCTGCGAGAACAAGCCTCAACGAAAAATCACAATCCTTTACGATTAAGTGGTTGGTGACAACCTTAGTGCCATAGCCTGGATGAATCATATTACTGCATTTTCAGCTACCAAACACGAAATAGGAGGGAAAGCAAATAATTTTGAAGTAATATGGGAAAGCACGGGGGAGGAACTGAGAGCAGTTCTCGAACTCCTACACAAAACACTTACTGAGCGACCATGTCTCCCTTTCATTACGCCACCTTTTGCACTTTCGATTTTTAAAACTGACAATTTTATTAAATTTTACCAGTTCCTGTTTAAATCTTCAATTCAGAGCTAAAGAGAGCCTTTTACAAAAGCAACAGCACGTGCACAATGAGACCATGAACTCCAGTTGGGTTTGGGGGCTTTTTGTGCCGCAGAATCCACACTTTAAAGTCTCTGTTTGCACGTCACTTAAAACAGTAAGGTTTCAGGCAACCCCAAGCAAAGCGGCCTTTTTTTAAGCAACGGGCCAAGCTTTCCCCTCCCGGCCAGCGTCGAGCGGGCCGGCAGCGCGGGC